TTTCCAGTCACCTGGAGCTTTTCTGATGTCATTTCACGGACAGCATTGCGCGCGTATACATGGCTTTTCCGATGACCTTCCTTGGATTTTTCACTTGGCCATGGAGACAATTACACTTACATTTGAAGGTATTACTAGTCCATTTTGTGGAGAGTAGCATTTTTTCCTCTTATGGACATATTCAGACACAAGAAATAACTGCACTTACCGTTCTCATGACAAGTCCAGCATGAATAGCTGGGCACGGGTTGCGAGTCGGACAATATAATAGAAAATGCCGGCCTCTATTAAAATGTGTTTACTCACCTGCATCATTATCTTTCGACTCTGCGACTCTTTTACATTATTGACGGGCTTCAACGACTACTGCAGGATAATTACTAAGCCCTTCTGCCAACCAAGCATGAACTTTGGTTGTCAACCGACTGCGAATAATAGAGTGCAAAATCAGTCTGTACGAGGCATAGCCGACTAGCACTACTGCTCTACGGAAGCTACGGCAGTGTTCCAGGACGTGGTGGGTTTCCGCCTAGCAAGCGTTCTCCCTGTAAAAAGCCACAAATATCCGCCTAACAACACTGCAACGTGGCGGATGTGACTCGCCACAAAATAAAGTCACAGGTAGACATTTCACACTGACGCAGTCCTCAGCCTTCTACATCCAACCTGTGCAACTGATTTTACTATGGAAATGCTTTGATGGAGTACAGAACATCCCGGCCTCGTAATGGACATTGGTTGCACCAAAACCTTGTTTGGGCTCCTGTGCTCATGGATCACTGCATGGCAAATTTACCCCCAACATGTATCTTGACGCAACCGTTTTTTGCGTGCCACAGCGCCATCATGGTCTTTGATCTGACTGTTACCTGACAATATGCTCACTCATATGGACTACAGCTTTTCGTTATAACTTTCTTTAAAACGAAATGTTTTAATATTCCAAAGAAGCTATGCTTGTATGCATATTTGAACACACCTTTACAGTTGTGTCTCGTTTTACAGAGAATATACCTTTTTTTATTTATTTATTCAGGTGTTGCATCAGCTTGATGAACTGCTTGGGTTCACTGTTCGTTTATGTGCTGTGTTGCTGCGAGAGGCGACGAACTGCTTCGGCAATGGCATTTCCTTGTTTACTAAGTAGCTGACATTTTTGGTTTTATGTTCACAAGAAATGCCCAAATTTGTTTTCGAGGTGGAAGCAGCTGTTTTATTCCTTGCTCTTCACCCAGAAGCAAAACAAGGGTTGTATGGTCAGAGTGGATGTCTAACAGTTTTCCCGAAAATAATCATTTAGGTCTCTCTGGTCACTTAATAGTAGTTCCTTTCAGGTGGTTGCAGGGTGCGAGAAGAGAACGCCGTTGGACAGAACCGTCGTCCGTCTTGTGGCGAAGGAATGCACCTACTCTGCGAGGACGTGTCAACCTGCAGCACTATAGGCCGGCTCGGAGCAAAGTGCACAGAATACTCGGTGGCGCTGAAGATACTTTTTCACCTGAGAAAGCGTT